ATTTTTAATAGACGTAATTTGATTTTTTAATTTTTATTTTAATAAAAATTTAAATTTATTACTTGTAAACAGTATAAAAAGCGAACAAAAACTTCAAGAAGCACCGCTAAACAGACCCTTACAAATTTACAATGCATGTAAGTAATTAGAGGAGTGCTAGGGCCACTCGCCTCCTGCACTCTCCGGCAAACACTTTCACTTTTATTATTAGGCCACGTTATTCTGGTCGGTGAGAGGTTGCACTTCAAAGCATGAAACAAGCTTACGTGGCCCAATGAAAGGGGAAGTGACGGCCGGAGAGTGCAAGAGGCGGGTGCCCCTAGCACTGCTCAAGTAATTAATTAATTTTCCTGCACTGGAATGCCAGTCGCCTTTTATTAAGCCCATTGATCTTTGTTTAACTGCCAATTTTAATCCATAAATTTTAAAATTTTGTATAATTTTTCTCTCTTAACTTTTTTTTTTTACTTTTTTCATCCTTAACTTTGAAAAATATATAATTTTGGTCTCTTTGTCAGTTAATCCTTTAAATCTATTCAAATGTATATATTTTTAATGCTTAAACTTATAATATATATAGACATATTTTTAGTTTCTAAACTTATAATATATACACATTTTGAGCCCTTGAATTTATAAATTCAAAACTAAAAATGTATATAAATGGATAGACTTAACAAATCAATTAACGAAGGATGAAAGAAGAGCATTTTTTATAATTTAGAGACTAAAAAAGTACTTAAAATAGATAAAGGGTGAAAACTATACAAAATCTTAAAGTTAATCAACTAAAATTGACATTTTACCTTGATCTTTTTTCTTTTCTTTTCTTCTTAAATTCCCATTTGGTAAATTAAGGTTATCAATGAATCTCTGAGGATGGCTAGTGTTCCAGCTGGGATGTTAAGAAAAACTACAAAAGACATCCATGTAAAAAGTACGTATTGAATCTGATATTTTTGTTGTATTATAGTTTACTAGTATATATAGAATTGTAATAAACTAATCAATTGCTCCCAAAAGTGACCTAACTAGTTAAAAACTTGAGATTTTAAATTAAAAATCTCAAATTTGAACTTTGAGTTTTTGAGATTGGTGGAGAGAGATTTAAGAAAAGATGAGAACTATTTTCTCTTATATAACTCATAATCAAATAACCTCAATGGTTAGATCTACTAGTAAACAATATTGTCTTGTAGGTTAGGTTCAAAATTCAAGTTTTGGGGCTAGCATACAAAATAATTAATTTTCTTAAATACACAAAAGCAATGTACATAGGGAGTGTGCTCTTAAAATCGTCTAGAGAGAGATTAGTTTTAAACTGTGTGAAAATTGATATGAAAACATATTCTAACCATAAATATATATATAATCAAATATATCAAAAAAAAAAAAACTAACTAATTAATGCAAATCTTTAACACTTAATAATGAACAATTAATTGCAGGATATATGATTCCAGAAGGGTGGACAATCATAGTTGTTCCTAGTGCTATTCACTTTTGATTCCAGAAACATATAAAAACCCCCTTGAATTCAATCCACGGCGATGGAGGGTAGAGTCTTATTCTATTTTTTTAAGTCTTATTTCTTAATGAATTCATTTGTAGTATTTTGTTTTTTCCCATAATTATTTTTGTTTTGCCCTGAGCCTGAAATTTTTAATGGAAATTAAATAGGAATTGGAACCAAATATAAAGGGCAGAAATTTCATTCCATTTGGTGGAGGAATGAGGTCCTATGCTGGGGCTGAGTTTAGTAAAGTGTTCATGGCAGTTTTTCTCCATGTTTTGCTCACCAAATTGAGGTGAAATTTATCATTCCAATGTCCATTTTCATAAAAATTAAAATAAGCATATAATTGCGAAAGGTATAGTAATTAATATACACTTTGATTCAATACATTATATAATATGTTTATTAAAAAGTCATTATTTTTTATCTAAAATTAAAAATAAATAAATTTAAAAATATAATTATACATATAAAATACAAGAATTGACTGAATTAATTATATTTATATTATATTTTAATAAATGAATTGAGATGAATGTCAAAAAATGTATTGAATTGAGTGGGTATCAATCATTTTTCTTGTGAAAATATGTAAGCTTGAACACAATATATACAAATCTAGCCTAAAAATATATATTAGTAGTAGGTTTTTTTTTTTTTGTTTTTCTTTAACAGTAATATATATTAGTAATAGGTGAATAATGCACATCTGATTTTTTTCCTTAATATTTTACTGAAAGATTTTCTAACACACCCTCGTCACGTACAAGTATAACATAAATTTTGGATCTTTTCATGTAGAGTTAACATACTTTCCTTACATGGACCATTGCTCTGATATGGTATTCAGATCCTATTTTGGATATGCTTTTGAGACTTGTCACAGGGATTGACAATAATGAGCTTGCTATGAATGGAGTCTGCTATGACATTATGTGAAAATATGTCCATCTTAAAACAAGATAAACAACTAAAAATTAATTGATGATAGATGAAACACCATGTTAAATGAGAAATTTTTAAATAAAAAAATAAAAAAGAAAAAGAAAAAAAGCATATGACTTAAATATATAAGATAAATTACATAATTTAGAACAATAATTAGTAAACCTTAAAGTTCAACATATCCCACAATATATTTATTAAAAAGTCATTATTTTTAAATTTGAATTTAAGATGAAAAAATTTAAAACTTATATTTTAATAACTGAACTAATGAATATTAACAATTGTGTTAAACTAGAGGTGCACTAATCATTAATATTATTTTATAATATTTTACCAATTAATTCTAAGTTAGGTACTCATTTCGTATGCAGGTTACATATGTTCACAATTGCTGGCAAATTAAATTAAAAAATTGACAATTTATTGCAGGTGGAACAAGGTGAAGGAAGATAAACTTGTTAGGGCTCCTGTGTTGGTTTTTGGGGAAGGATACCATATTAATGTCCGCAAAAAGTAGAAAAATAATGCAGGGGATCTGTCATGGCTGAAGGCTGATGGCAAGATCTCAAAAATATGTCTACTGTGCGTCTGTATAGAATTATTGTAAAGTGCAATAATATAGATAGAGAAAAGTTTTTTGCCGTTGTTTCTTTAAATTTTTTTAAAATTTGATTTATATTTCTAAAAGTTAATTGTTGGATTTAAATTTCTATTATAAATCATGTATGTAATTTTTTTTTATTGATTTAGTAGGCCTAATCACTTCATTAATTACAAGATATTTAATACCAT